CCTCTGGTGACAGTACACATGGTTCCACCGGTGGATGACTACCGTTTATCAACCCAACCCCTAGGACACACACTGAGGTAACTTCCAGCTGTTGCTGTTAGCAACCACGCTGGAAAGGAAATCCTAACACTGCATCTTTGCCCGCATCCTTCACCTATTCTTAATTCTCCCAAATCAGGGTGAAACAGTTATTGATCTTTATGAACTAGATGATTTGGGGAGTCTAGGCAAAACTGCGCGAGAAGCCCCACTTTGCTGCTAACCATTCTAAGCTCTTCTCTCCTCGGCTCTTGGAACCCAGGCTTCTGGTTATAAAGGGATCCCAGTGAGACCTACACCCAGATCTCCCATCCCCGCCCCGAGGCTGGTCCCAGACAACAAAGTAACTTCTTCCTTTCCAAACAAAAGTCTCATTACAAAACAGGCTGGTCTCGCTTCGGAGGAAAGCAAGGTAAGCATCTGGATAAAGTAAAACCCCAACCACGGAGCAGCTGAGCTTGCTGAAGTGTGGGATGAGGGGAGATGTTTTTGAGTGGGGAGGGAAGTTTTTCTGGCTCTCATTTTCTTCAGGCTTATCCTCCCTCACCCCGCAACCCCGCAGGTGATCGGAAACTCACCCCCTTCCGAAAGGTGGCCTCCCCTTTCCTGCAGTTTGACCCTTGTGCAAATGTGGTTGCCACTGCTGGGAGAGGGCCACAGAGACCATGGCAAAGCTGGGCATGAGCTAGAATCCTATTCCAACTGTAATTTTGCAAATGACTGGTAAAGCTGATAAATGTTTGAAACTTTCTTGGCCCGAGGCAGGATACATCAATAAATGATTGTGAGATGCATAGAACACTTCACCCCCTCACTTCTAAGGTGGGCAATTCCGAAATGGAAACAGGCGTTAGAATATCACACCTAGAAGCAGGTGAGTCAGCCTCTAACCCTGTCACTCCCACTAACAGATGATAGTTAAAAAAAAAAAAAAAAAAAAAAGGCCATTACCCTTTTCTATGAAATATTAGATAACAACATTCACTCTATCCACCCTACCAGGTTGCTAGGCCAATTGTATGAGCTAATGTCTGGGAATATACCAAGTACTATACAAACACAGGGATATTTGTTGTTGTCAAAGTCCTTTCAGGAAGAAAAATACTTTTATGAGCTCATAGAAATGTAGTAGAATTGAGCACTAATAAACCTATTTGTCTAATATAATCAGAGTCGAAACTATAGAATTTTACCTTTTCTTCCAAGGAAGGCCTATAATCAAAATATTCATATCCTGTTCTCAGTGACAAGTTCAACTGCCAATAGATGAGTTCAGAATCCAAAGGGTATGTTCAAACGTATTCCTAACCCTGTGACGTGTCTGGATTGCTCCATTTAGCCTCAGGAAATCAGAGAGAAATATTTATGTGTTAAAAGCACTTTCTCAAGAAAAATTCCAGGGTGCTCGAAGTTTTCTGATCTTTCAGAGGAAAAGCTAGGATACATATTCCACTCATTTCTTTAGCAGGTCTTTAAGGACCTCCTTTGATTCAGGTACCAGATTAGGTGCTGGGAGACGCAGTCCTTACCCTCAAGTAGCCTCTGGTCTGATGGAAGAAGTAAGTGAACAAATACAGTTTAGTCTAAGTGCTTAGTTAAAGCAGACACACCCTGGTTAGTACACTCCCTCTGCTTGGCTGTGGTGGTGCCTGAGTGTGGGCACAGGGCCCTGGACCCCCGGGCCCCTATCACCGGCTCACATCTCCATCTCCTTCAAGACAAAGGAAAATCACTTTGTGAGCATCTGTGTGACCAGACTATGATTGGCAGGGTCACTGCACTCAAGCCATTTCTAGTGTTATGACTTCAGTTTTCACAGTCTGGGGAAAGGAGTGGGGGAAAGTGGTTCTTGGATTTCATACAGTTTTTTGAAGGAGTCCAAGACTATTCAGATCAACTCCATGTGAAGCCTGCACTGAGCCAAGCCACTCCCCCAGCTCTGCCTGGCCCCTAATCCTGACCCGCAGGCTCCCTGCCAGGCCCTGCCAAGGCTGCCAGTCACCGGGAATTACGGCTGGTGCTACCAGCACTCTGGGCTCCTGGGAGATGAGACCAGACTCGTTTTACCTTGCGTGTTAAGCCAGAGCTTCACGTTTTATTGCTAATGTAATTATTTGTTTAGTTGTCTGCTGCTCTAGGGGAATATCTAGTACCAAGGGTACAACTGGCCTGTAAGGCACTGTCATGTGAATCTCCAAAAAAGCCCCCTTTGCACAGGTCATTTAAAAAGGCATCCCCTCTGGTCAGATGGGGCACCCAGGAAAAGGGCCTGGTGGCGTGGGCTCTGGTGGACTTCAGCCCCATCCACCCCTCCGCGGCTTTGTACAAACCGCACTAGAGGGTGGCAGCCGGCGTAAGTTCTGCATTCTAAGCGTTTTGTTTTGGCTCTAGAGAGTACAATATCTTCTGTTTTAAAACGATGCTCATGTATGTCAACTATATTTCAATTTCAAATATGCTGAATGCTTAAAGGATCTCTTTACTGTGGGATTACCACTTTCTCTGGTATACTTTTCTTTATAAAAATGCCAAAAGAAGTATTATTAATAATGTATTTTTAAAACTTACGACAGTAGAACTTACCTTGCAAATCCTAACATTAATTTTGCTTTCATGTTCTGCTTTTCCCCTGTGGTCTGCACGCCTAGGCTCTAAAGGAGAAGTGTTAACACTTTTGTATCTTATTCTTCTTCCTATTCCTGCCCCCTCCCAATAAAATTCTTGGGACAGGGAATCAGCTTTACACCATCAAGCCAAGATTTTTTTTTTTTCCGGTACGCGGGCCTCTCACTGTTGTGGCCTCTCCCGTTGTGGAGCACAGGCTCCGGATGCGCAGGCTCAGCGGCCATGGCTCACGGGCCCAGCTGCTCCGCGGCATGTGGGATCTTCCCGGACCGGGGCACGAACCCGTGTCCCCTGCATCAGCAGGCAGACTCTCAACCACTGCGCCACCAGGGAAGCCCCAAGCCAAGATTTTAAAGCAGTGTCCTAGGATGCCTCCTTTACTCCACAACTGCAATATTTTAAAAGAAGAGACCAAGTTTTCATAGAGCCAGCCTAGGGAAATATTCCCACGTGGTTCTTCTGGTGGGGTGTGCCCTGGGAGGGGGGGTAGGGTAGATGTGGGAGAAACGGTCACACAGAAGGAACTCGAACAGGCACTACTGTTACCAGCCAAGTGATCCACAAATCCCAATTGTCTGTTGCATTAGGGAATAGCTGCGGTGTACCCTAAGTGTTCCTGAGGGCTGAGCATTTGTTAATTGGATGCTTCATAATTCCTAGAGAACTTCACCAGTGGGTCACGAAACTGAAAGCTAAACCAGCAAGTTGCAGAATAGACAAGGTTAAGAAGCCAGTTCCTCAGGGATGATTATAGGATGCTCCATCAGGGTGAGAGTAATTCCTGTTATCCCCTCACTGGGGGTGGAGGGTGGGAATATGTGAAATTTAGGTGCAGGGAGGTCAGGTAGGGCCTGACCTACCTGGACGGGCTGGCTGTACAACAGGCCTTGAATAAGCTTTTGTTGAGTGAATGCAGGAGGGGGGGGGAGCTTTCAGAGGCCCTGGCTGTGACAGTTCCCCTGCCCTGGCTCTCCGTTTAGGGGAGAAATGCTTTTAGGGAGCAGAGGGCAGGTGGGGTGGGGTCAGGGAGGGCTGGAAAGAACCAGGGGCAGCTCTGAAGGCCGGGGCTCCTGCCTACCTCATACGACGACTGCGACGGAACATCGAAGCCTGCTCCCCAGAGGACGTTGCAAATACACAGAAACAGAGGTTTAGATACATTCAGTGAACGATTTCTCCTCGCCAGCGGGAAGGGAAACGTTTAAAGAGTGCGGCGCTTTTTTACCCTTGGCAAGGACGTCCTGGAGTTTTTGGCAGCCGGGGAGACGGCGGTGGGATTCAGGAGCTTGCCTGGGAAGGGCGGGCGGGGGCCGCCACGACATTCCCAGACTGTCCCGGACCCCCGACTCAGAATCTCACCCCGGGAAGCGCTCGGAGGAGACCCAAGTGGGGGGATGGGGGGTCAGGGCTGCAGCCGAGGGCGCCCAGGAGTCCGAGGGGCGGGGGTCTGTAAAAGAGAGTGCAGGGCGCCGAGCAGCCGCCCGGAGAAGGGGCGAGAGCTTATCTTCAGGGGAGCCAGGAGTCTAAACCGGGGCGAGCCTGAATCTACGCAGAGTCGGTACCAGGAAGGAGCTGGTCTTCTTGGGGAAAAGGTGCAAAAAAAAAGTGCAAACGGTGGCGGGGTGCGGCGGGCGGAGCAGGGCGTCCCGCGCGCGGACACCCACTGAACCCCGGCTGCTCGGGCGGGCGCGGGTTGCTGCCGCGGGACACCCCCCCCTCATCCCCGCCCCCCAGGACGGGCCGGGCGCCCGCGCTGCCTCTCCCCCGCGCCCCCTCCCCTCCGCCCCTCCCCCGCCGGGCCGCCGAGGCCAGACGCGAGCGCTGGGCGCGGGGCGCGGGGCGGGCGGGCCAGG